TCGTGTGGTTCTGGTCGTGTGGTTCTGTTCGGGTCGTGTGGTTCTAGTTGGTCGTGTGGTTATGGTCGGGTCGTGTGGTTCGTGGTCGGGTCGTGTGGTTCTGGTCGTGTGGTTCTGATCCAGTCGGGTCGGGAGTAAAAACGACGTTGACACAAGGTAAAAGTTTTTATTTTTATTTCCTGTGTTTGATCAGAGCCCAGGAGAGATCCCTAGATGACTCAGACACGATGTTAGAACATGAAGAAGGTTCCAGAAAGAACCAGCCCCTCGTTCCACTTTGTGATGTCACAGAGAGTCGGAGGTAGAAACGTGAGAAGAGGAAAAACTTTGACACAAAAACTCCAGAAAGTCCCAACGGGTCTAAAGCAGGACCAAGACCTGGTCTAGACCTGGTCTAGTCCGAGTCCAGTCCTGGTCTTGGTCCCAGTCTTGGTCCAGGTCTTGGTCCCGATCTTGGTCTTGATCTCGGTCCCGGTCTCGGTCTCGGTCCGGGTCTTGGACCCGGTCTTGGACTCGGTCTCGGTCCCGACCGTCACACGTCCACCACCATGTGTTTGTGGAAGTCCAGACCTTGGACGACCTGAGGAGACAAGAGCAGAACTTCAGACGGACTCGGACGGACTTCAGGACTCGGACGGACTTCAGGACCCGTCTGAACCCAAACGGACTCGGATCAGAACCAGAACCTGCAGCTGATCCTGAGGCAGAGCCAGTGCAGCCTCTGCAGCTCAGGGACCAGTCCTGGTCTGGTCCTGGTCTGGTCCTGGTCTGGTCCTGGTCTGGACTCAGACCAGCAGATCATATTTGGGCGACTTTCAACTTGGCTTGGTCCTGGTCTGGTCCTGGTCTAGTCCTGGTCCTGGTCTCTTGGTCTTGGTCTGGTCCTGGTTTAGTCCTGGTCTGGTCCTGGTCTCTTGGTCCTGGTCCTGGTCTGGGTCTTGGTCTCACGTTGCAGAACTCTCGGTAGTCGATGCGTCCGTCTCCGTCTTCGTCCGCGCTCACGATACTTTTGTCGACGATCTGCTGCAGCTGCTCGTCCTCCAGGTTGGACCCGACCATCGACTTCAGAACCTGGAACAGCTCCCCGTTTGAGATGAACCCGTCTCCGTCCACGTCGTAGATCCGGAACGCAACTGGAACAAAAGGAACCACACTGGAACAAACGGAACGCAACTGGAACAAACGGAACCACACTGGAACAAATGGAACGCAACTGGAAAAAAACTGAACCACACTGGAACAAACAGAACGCAACTGGAACAAAAGGAACGCAACTGGAACAAAAGGAACCACACTGGAACAAACGGAACGCAACTGGAACAAAAGGAAACACACTGGAACAAACGGAACGCAACTGGAACCACACTGGAACAAATGGAACGCAACTGAAAAAAACTGAACAACTGGAACAAACGGAACGCAACTGGAACAAAAAAACTGGAACAAACTGGAACAAAAGGAACCACACTGGAACAAACGGAACGCAACTGGAACAAACGGAACCACACTGGAACAAATGGAACGCAACTGGAAAAAAACTGAACCACACTGGAACAAACAGAACGCAACTGGAACAAACGGAACGCAACTGGAACAAAAGGAACGCAACTGGAACAAAAGGAACCACACTGAGACAAATGGAACAAGACTGGGACAAACGGAACGGGACAGGAACAAACGGAACCACACTGGAGCAAATGGAACCGGACTGGAACAAATGGAACAGGACTGTAACAAACCAAATGAGAGGAACAAAAGGAACAAGACTGGAACAAATGGAACACAACTGGAACAAACAGAATAGGAGGAACAAATAGAACAAGAGGAACAAAAGGAACAGGAGGGTCATGTGACTTACAGCGGAGCCTCTGCTCTTTGGTGCCTCTGACGCTGAACTGCAGGACGCCCTCGATGAACTCTGCACCAAACAAAAGAATCACACACCGGGACCTCACAGCAAGAAGGTCCAGACACACACCAGGACCTCACAGCAAGAAGGTCCAGACACACACCAGGACCTCACAGCAAGAAGGTCCAGACACACACCAGGACCTCACAGCAAGAAGGTCCAGACAGACTGGGCTCTGCATTTATACTTCCAAATGTTTGAGATGTTTGGGCTGTTGTGTTAAACCTCCACCAGGAGGTGCTTACCACAAACTCACTTTATTCTGGTGAATTTTCCCAAACTCAGAGTTTGATCCAAACAGTCGTTGGTTTGTTTTTGTTTTTGTGTTTGATCCACAAATGTAAATTTAATATTTGTTACTTGTATTTTGGTTTTTACAAATAAATGTGGATTTATAAATGTATGTTTTAATTTGAAAAAAATATATAATAATAATAATAATAATTATTATTATTATCATAATAGTCATACCTGTCACACACACACACACACACACACACGAGGTCAGTTCTTAATTGATTCTTAATTCTGTCGTGTTGTTTTGAAATGTTCTCGTGCACCAGCGTCGCCCTCTAGTGTCTCTGTGAGTTTGTGCGTCTGTGTTTGTGGATTTGTCTAAAAGAAAATCTCAAAAATTCGTCACAGAGGAAATCTGTGAATTTGTAAAATTGTTGATCCACAAATGAGAATCACATTTTACAAACTGAATTTTAACTTTTCCTTTTTTTTTTTTTTTTTTTGTAAATGTAAACATATATTTTACAAACAACATTTATTTGTAAAAAACAAAATGCAAATGACAAATATTAAATTTACATTTGTGGATCAAACACAAAAACAAACCAACGACTGTTTGGATCAAACTCTGAGTTTGGGAAAATTCACCAGGAAAAAAAAGACACTGTGAGTCTCAGTCTGAGAATTTATACACAAACAAACAAACAGAAACACAAAAAAGAACCACACAGAGAAAAGAACCACTTGACCCTGCTCAAGTGAAGTGGGGGACCCTATTACCGTGGGGGACCCTGTTGGTGTGAGGGACCCTGTTGGTGTGGGGGACCCTGTTGGTGTGGGGGACCCTGTTGGTGTGGGGGACCCTGTGGGGACCCTGTGTGGGGACCCTGTGTGGGACCCTGTTGACCCTGTGTGGGGGACCCTGTTGGTGTGGGGGACCCTGTTACCGCGGGGGACCCTGTTGGTGTGGGGGACCCTGTTACCGTGAGGGACCCTGTTGGTGTGAGGGACCCTGTTGGTGTGGGGGACCCTGTTGGTGTGAGGGACCTTGTTGGTGTGGGGGACCCTGTTACCGTGAGGGACCCTGTTGGTGTGGGGGACCCTGTTGGTGTGAGGGACCCTGTTGGTGTGGGGGACCCTGTTGGTGTGAGGGACCCTGTTGCCGTGCGGTGCTCTCACCATTGAAGTCGACCTCTCCGTTTCCGTCCTTGTCGAAGATGTCGATGACTCTCTGGACCAGCGGGTTCTGCTGGAGCTCAGGTAACGACATGAACTCGTCCACGCTCAGCTCCCCCGAGTCGTCCAGGTCCAACTTCTTAAAGCGCCGGTCCAGACGCCGCACCTCTGACACAAAAGTACTTTTACTACTACTAATACTACTACAACTTCTACTACTAATACTAATACTAATAATACTACTAATTATAATTCTACTTCTGCTCTTCTACTTTTATGGACCTGGAGTTTTCTGGATCTTGTTGTTAGAAGACATCTCACACAGCTCCTCAAAGACTCTGGTCCAACCCTGGTCTCTGGTCTCTGGTCTCTGGTCTCTGGTCCGGTCTGGTCCAGGGTCTGGTCCAGGGTCTGGTCCGGGGTCTGGTCCGGGGTCTGGTCCGGGGTCTGGTCTCTTAAGCTCTGGTCATGTGACGGTTTAAGCCCTCATCAGTGACGCAGCTCGTTGGCTCAGGGATAAAAATAAATCCACCTGGACTAAACCTGGACTTGACCAAGATTAAACCAAGGCCAGATCTTAGAACCAGGACTAGACCAGGACTAGACCAGGACTAGACCAGGACTAGACCAGGACTAGACCCAGACTAGAGCCGGACTTCCCTGTAACACAGAGAAACTGATGTTGACTTGTTCTGGTCTCACCACAGAAACACAAACTGCTCCACATTTTTTATTTATTTACACATTTTTTATTTTATAGAGAAAAAAAATCTAAATAAAATAAAATAAACCACAGAGAAAAACCCAAACCAAAATGTCACAAATCTTGAGTGAAACTAAGTCCAGAGTCGGAGTGAAAAGTGAAGAGAAAAACACTGAGAGGAGACGAGAGTTTAGATTTATTATTATTATTATTATTATTATTATTATTTTTAAAGGACTAAACAAGAACTAAACCAGGACTAAACCAGGTCTAAACCAAGACTAAACCAGGACTGAACCAGGACTAAACCAGGACTAAACCAGGTCTAAACCAAGACTAAACCAGGACTGAACCAGGACTAAACCAGAAGTAAACCAGGTCTTTATTCCAGGTCTTTAGTTGGATTGGAACATAATGAGACAGAATTGTCGGTTGTATTTTTAAATCATTCGGAGTCAGATTCTCTCGTCACGTGTTTGTGGTGCGAGGACACGCGGGCTCTAAATATAAATATAAATATAAATCGTTCAAATCGATCGTTTTGAGTTAGTTTGAGTTCTTGAACGGAAGTGGATACAGCCAGAGCGGAAGTGGAGGCGTTGCCATGGCAGCGGCGTGTTTACCTTTTAGCCTCGGAGGAGCTAACGGGAGCTAACGGGAGCTAACGGGAGCTAACGGGAGCTAACGGGAGCTAACGGGCTAAAGCTCCAGACTCCGCGGACGGAACAAAAACAAGTCCGAATATGGTGAGTTCAGAGCCGCGCCCGAACCAGAGACAGAACCAGAGACAGAACCGGGACTAAACCAGGACTAAACCGGGACTAAACCGGGACTAAACCGGCACTAAACCGGGACTAAACCAGAGACAAAACCAGGACTAAACCGGACTAAACCGGGACTAGGACTAAACCGGGACTAAACCGGGACTAAACCGGCACTAAACCGGGACTAAACCAGAGACAAAACCAGGACTAAACCGGGACTAAACCAGAGACAAAACCAGGACTAAACCAGGACTAAACCGGGACTGAACCAGAGACAAAACCAGGACTAAACCAGAACTAAACCGGGACTAAACCAGAGACAAAACCAGGACTAAACCGGCACTAAACCGGGACTGAACCAGAGACAAAACCAGGACTAAACCGGGACTAAACCAGAGACAAAACCGGGACTAAACCAGGACTAAACCGGGACTAAACCGGGACTAAACCAGAGACAAAACCAGGACTAAACCGGGACTAAACCGGGACTAAACCAGAGACAAAACCGGGACTAAACCAGGACTAAACCGGGACTAAACCGGGACTGAACCAGAGACAAAACCAGGACTAAACCGGCACTAAACCGGGACTAAACCAGAGACAAAACCAGGACTAAACCGGCACTAAACCGGGACTAAACCAGAGACAAAACCAGGACTAAACCGGGACTAAACCAGAGACAAAACCGGGACTAAACCAGGACTAAACCGGGACTAAACCGGGGCTAAACCAAGACAAAACCGGGACTAAACCGGCACTAAACCAGGTCTAAACCAGGACTAACGTGAAATGAGATTCCCGTGTTTGTGTGACTCGGTTCGTACCAAAGACTATATAAAATATAATATATAAGTATATAAAGTACATATATATAAAGTATATATATATAAAGTATATAAAGTACATATATATAAAGTATATAAAGTACATATATATAAAGTATATAAAGTACATGTATATAAAGTACATATTTATAAAGTGTATAAAGTACATATATATAAAGTATATAAAGTACATGTATATAAAGTATATAAAGTACATGTATATAAAGTATATAAAGTACATATATATAAAGTACATATATAAAAAGTATATAAAGTACATATTTATAAAGTATATAAAGTACATATATATAAAGTATATAAAGTACATGTATATAAAGTATATAAAGTACATATATATATAAAGTATATAAAGTACATATATATAAAGTATATAAAGTACATATATTTAAAGTATATAAAGTACATATAATATATAAAGTATATAAAGTACATGTATATAAAGTATATAAAGTACATATATATATAAAGTATATAAAGTACATATATATAAAGTATATAAAGTACATGTATATAAAGTATATAAAGTACATATAAAGTATATAAAGTACATGTATATAAAGTATATAAAGTACATATATATAAAGTATATAAAGTACATATATATAAGTGTATAAAGTACATATATATAAAGTATATAAAGTACATATATATAAAGTATATAAAGTACATGTATATAAAGTATATAAATACATGTATATAAAGTACATATAAAGTATATAAAGTACATGTATATAAAGTATATAAAGTACATATATATAAAGTATATAAAGTACATATATATATATAAAGTATATAAAGTATATAAAGTACATATATATAAAGTATATAAAGTACATATATAAAAGTATATAAAGTACATATATATAAAGTATATAAAGTACATATATATATATAAAGTACATATATACAGTATATAAAGTACATGTATATAAAGTATATAAAGTACATATTTATAAAGTATATAAAGTACATGTATATAAAGTATATAAAGTACATATATATAAGTATATAAAGTACATATTTATAAAGTATATAAAGTACATATATATAAAGTATATAAAGTACATATATATAAAGTATATAAAGTACATATATAAAGTATATAAAGTACATATTTATAAAGTATATAAAGTACATATATATAAAGTATATAAAGTACATATATATACAGTATATAAAGTACATGTATATAAAGTACATATTTATAAAGTATATAAAGTACATATTTATAAAGTATATAAAGTACATATATATAAAGTATATAAAGTACATATATATAAAGTATATAAAGTACATATATATACAGTATATAAAGTACATGTATATAAAGTATATAAAGTACATATATATACAGTATATAAAGTATATGTATATAAAGTATATAAAGTACATATTTATAAAGTATATAAAGTACATATATATAAAGTATATAAAGTACTGTATACATTCACACGGTCTGTGGTTCGTGTCATTTCTTTAAATTCGTCATGTTAAAGTTTCACTGTGGAACATTCCTGGCGGGGGAGCGTCCGCCCGTCGCCATGGAGACGTGACTGTTTCACCTCCAATGTTCCACAGTGTTCATGATATTTTTGCGGTGGCATCATCTGTGTGTGTGTGTGTACGGTGGAATGTTCAGCGGTTACTATGGAAACACAAACAAACAGACAAATCCCGTCACGAGGCGCCATTTTGAGGACTGTATTTGTTTAGATTTTTTTTTTCTCATTGCCACTAAACTCTTTTGTTTTAGTCGAGTCACCTGCTCGTTCCCATGGAGATTTTTATGTTTTATGCCGCACTGTGGAACATTCCAGCACAACAGCGTCTCCATGGAGACAACAAACACTTGATTTTTATTTGACA